CATCAATTTGTATGAAATATCCTGGATTTTTTAGAGTCAAATTAAGAGTCCGATGCTATAAAAAGCTCCGTACGGTTGGTTTGAGCGGGGAAAAAAGAAAAGTTTCATAACCTTATAAATTTTAAAATGTAACTAATGCTGGAATTTTCAAACATAAGCGGCAAGTCTCAACAAAATTTGAAAAAGGTTGTTGAATATCCGGTGAGATGTAGATACAGGTCGAATAAGAACAAGATGAAAACTTTATCTTTCCGATCTATATTTTGTATGAAGAAAACATTTCTTTAAGAGAAAGATTTTATACATATCAACGAAAAGTATTACTGGCTGCTCGGTCAAAGAATGCAAAATGTTTCCTTATAGAAAAACGACTAATATATCCATTATCATTAATAAATGGTTCTAGGATATTTACGTACTGATAACTTTTTGAAACTTTTTAAAGGCAATTACCATAAATTTTGAAAAAAAAGCATAGGCAGTAATCATAAATTAAAAAAGTATTAAAAGAATAAAATTAAAAAAATTAAAAGTTTATTTTAGTTTAAAATGCAATGACAAATTACAGTGACATCGTTCTACACATCGCCAGTTTGTTTTTGTTTCATCGGCGTTTTTCTTATGATACTGTTAGCTGTAAATTTCCTCCTCTAAAAATATATTTACACCAGGGTCTGGTTTTCGGAACTTAGCCATGGGTTCCAAATAAAAATATAACATATAAAATACAGAATCTATTAGATGTTTCTGGTACGCACTGCTGGAGGGAACTGAAACTGCTGGCTTAATTTTTTCTTAATTAAAAAATATCCTATTTTTTTAATTTATTGGTAACTACCTTTCTGCTTGTTTAGAGTAATTAAAAGTATTAGTGTGCAAATTTCTACATTAAACAACTCTTTAAAAAAAAGAATGTTAATTTTAAAAAATTATGAGAAGTGCGCAATTATCCAAGGACGCATTTGTCTATGGACGCATTTATCTAGAAATGCAAATGTCTTGTACGCAATTGTCTGGGACGCAAATATCCACTGCACAATTGTCCGTCCATCTTAATAAATTACATGAACTTAGACTAATACACTTTCGATGGCGGAATGAGGCGACCATCATGAAGAGGGATATAAAACAGTGTTATTTATTTAATTTCTTTTTGCGAAATGGTCTTCACTGTTTTCAATACACTATGAATAAAAGGCATTGTATAAAATTTACTGAAACCCAATAACAATTTACATGTATTTTGTTGGAAAGTTCTTAAACATCTAATATTTCAGTGATGAAAATCACAATACTAATTTTGGGAAGATGACATTTTGGCATCTATGACCTAGCGTTATCGGTAATTTCGGTAAAACAGTGATCCTTAAACTTTTTGATGTCGGGGTGTTCTTAAAATTCTACCAACAATTGTAGACGCACTATGTACAAATTTCGGAAAAAATGTGTTATACTGAAGTCAAATATTGCAGAAAAGAAATAATGCAATAAAAAATTATGAAATGAAAAATACTTTAAAATACTATTCATTCTTGTGCTTATGAGAAACATGAGCCTTAGGAGTTTCAGCGATTTTTTTTCAATATTTGGGCGTTTATTTGATAGGCAAACTCTCCTTTCCTCGTCAATACATTGAAGAGTTTCTCTATTTTTGCACTTAATTGTGGTAAGAGCAGAACAGCCTAATTCACATCAATATGTAGATGGGTACCGAAATATAATAAAGTAAGTATATTTATTTCTTATATCTGGACACATATTTCTCTGGAATGCCAGAGCACACCTAGACATCTTCCAGGGCGCGCCAGTGCGCCCAGGCGCATCATTTGAGGACCACTTCCGTAACATAAGGCTGAAGGCAGGCGTTTATTTTCGTTATCAGAGCTGAAGGCATACTGCAAATCAGTGAGATTTCTCATCTTCGGCGTAACCGTTTGATATTCAACATACTCGTCTTCTCGGTTGTAACTGTGATTTCTTTTAAACCCACAGAGTCTACATGTGGTTCATACTGCAGCAATGCTGAAATGATATTCGTTACAGGCAAACAGTCTGCATACCAAAACTGTTGCATAAAAATCGCCCTGTTGAGATAAGTAATGGTCAAAACATCCCAAATATTGTGCGCATCATAAAAATATATCGAAGCTATCAGACATCTTATTATAAAACGCAGATTGTGTGTGTGTGTGTCTGTACGTTTATATATTGGATCGGATTTCCTACATTTTTCAACCGATTTCAACAAAACTTCACAGGACTGCGTAAAATTACCTTGCGGTGGTTCTGACAGTGCTAAAAATGGAAAAAACACAATTGTTTTTGCATGAAATCAATTTGAAAACACGACTCTGTCGCCAGAATGAAAGGGTGACAACTCATATCGAGTTATACTTATTATAAAACCCAGGTTGTTTTGTGTGTGTGTGTGTGTGTGTCTGTACGTTTATATATGGGATCGGATTTCCTACATTTTTCAACAGATTTCAACAAAACTTCACTTTTTTTTTGGCAGGTAGTGTTTCTTATTGTCTTGCACACTTTTTTTCTTTATTTTTACATTCAGAATGCTTTAAAAATTCCATTTACAAAACAATTGTTTATAATAAAATTCTATTCAATCGATAGACTCATAACGATGGAAAACAATGTTTTTGTTTGAGTTTGACCAATTCTTTAAAAAAAAGTAAAAAAAACAAAAAACAAAACAAAACAAAAAAACTAATTAAGACATGCGTGTCCGTTAACCTTAAACAATAATCTTTGTCAATTTTATTTTTCAGTCTTTATGATGGTCGATACATCTCTTACTGCTACATCCCCGGGCAACGCCGGGCTCTACTGCTAGTTTATAAAGGCTCAAATTACACCACTGATGTCCTCCGATACGATGGTGTAGAGGATATATGAGTTGGTTAAACATGGTGAACTGGATCAGGTAATGAAAACAATATGCGCTGATTTGGCGGGTACGAACTAGAAATTCTTCTTTTATGTGACGATACCCTTCAGAAAGTAACCGAACATGGTCCTCCACATTTTCCTGTCCCTTTTAGCTCTTATTTTCGTCTTTTTGTTATTTCACACAAACCCTGTTCTACCATCCATTTGCCCAATCTCATCAAATATGTAACGCGTTGCTTTCATCCGTCCTTCTTTCCCTCAATCTATCCTGTGAGTATCAGGTTTTCCAAGCCCTTCTTCCTCAGTACTTGCTTCAGAAAGAGGTGGTTCCACGCTCCTCAAAAGCTCCTGATCAGAGTACTTGCTGTTGGACGTAGTTTATCGTCTTACCGAGGACGAACATGCAGAAGGACCACCGGAAAAAAATATGCTAATCAACGAATATCTCATAATAGCCAAAAATAATGGACACCTGAAGATGGTAAGGGTACTTTCCTGAAACATTGTATCTATAATAACATCTATATAATAACATCTATAATAAGCCAGAGGAGACCAGTAGTATACGGTAAAATATGGTCGGTCAAAATATCTGACTACTGGTGTCATTGTGTCATGACCCAGAAAGAAAATGGACTGTTGCTGCCACATGCGGGGCGGAGATGCCCAGTACTTACTTTCCAGCGGCGACCGAGTTCAAAATCAGTTGCATGGCGTTCTACTAATTGCTACGTTGCTCGTCTGCTTACCCTAACGTTGTATGCAGTTTAAACTGTCACAGGACCCTCCATACCAGATACATTGAGTCAACACATCCTTATTCCCTTCATATTCCATAGGTAAAGATTATGACTGATTTGTTTTTTTTACGGTTTATCAACCCATTGCAGGTTATTTAAAGCCAGAAAAAAATTTTAGATTCTAAGAAATTTTGGAAATAATAATGGTTTTGTAATACAAGTCTTACTAATTGACCCAGGTGAGGAAAAGAGGTGAATTCATATTTTTTCCAAGCATATTTGCGTGTAAGGGAATATAACAAACTCGATGGGAATTTGATCTCGGTTCTCCGAATAACAATTCCGAGATATTTTCTATTACATCACGCACACATTCAAACTGGTATTCCCAAGCGGTCACTAATATAGATACTGATCCGGCTCGACTTCGGTGATCGTAAAAGAACCAATGTTTCAACGTGATATGGCCGTAAACCCATAGGTAAGGAATAAGTTTCACAAAGAAACTTCTTCCGCAGAACTGTTCATATGTGAAACAGGTTCCTGAGAGGATGCTTCCTTGATCACTATAATTTTGACCTCTTTAAGTCGAGGACTAACTCATGTCTATCTTACATACCCTAGTAATATGCAACCGTTGATTCCGCCCTTAAAACATCCCGAATTAGTAATCTACTTGAGTGGTTCTTGAGCCTTAAATTGGGTAAATAAATAAAATGTAATTCACTTTTTAACAACGCGCTTAGTACAGAAGATGAAATTAACTTTATAGATCGAACATTAACAGCGTTAAGTTTTTGGAAAGATAATTTTGGTTGAGAGATTGATATTTAATAAAAAAAAAAACCTCCTTAAAATGATATCTGATTTGGTCTGGAAAGTGATGCTGGTAAATAGCTATTTTTTTTTCTAGTCTGATGTTAAGTCTTTGCTTAAATTCGCGCTTATCTCCCCTTTTTTCATTCGAGTCTACAAGTCAGATTTTGATAACAGAAGACAAATAAATTAAGAAAATAATAAGAGAAAATTTTGTCTAAAATGTGAAAAGAATTTTTTTTTTCAAATGAAACTATCGAAATCCAACCTGAAAGAAAAGAAAAAAAGAAAAAGAAGGGAAGACTGACCATCAAGAGATGACAGAAAACAAAACAAAAATGGCGACACCGAAAATAAAATTGGGAAAAATGAGAACGACTGCAAAAAATAAGAAAATAGAAACAAAAAAATCATAAGAAATAGAACAAAAAAGTAATGAAGAGAAGGAAAGAAGAAGGAAAGAGGAAACGAAAAGAAAAAAAAATAAGCTTTCCTCCTTAATTTTTTTTTTCTTAATCCACCTCCGATATTTTTTTGAAGGAAGTTTTAAATTGCGCAGTCCTGAATTGTGACGCGGCCATCGGCCGTACCCACGACGGAAATTTCCAGCAATTATGTTCTTTTTCCCCGGAAAATCTAGTGAATGCGCCCCATCACTACCCGATTCACTGCTACCCTCTCAGCACCCCTTACCCGATCCTCTTTTTCCGTATAGCTCCCGTTACCCGCTTTCCTTTCTTAATTTCCTTCCCCTCGCTTCTCCGATTACTCCTCCTTCCTTTTTTTTCTGTTCTCTCTTCACGACCTTCCCGTGATGCTCTCTTGCGCACTGGCTTTCTTGACCTTTACCATGGCTGCCTTGTGCTTCATCTAATTGTGGAATGCGTCACACTAGAATCAGCTTTAATGATCCCCTTCAAAAGAACGAAGCGAAAGAAGGAAGAGAAGCAAGAGGAGACAGGAAGTGGAGGTAGCAGAATTTGAAGTGGAGAGGCAGGAGAGAGAGAGAGGAGAGAGGGTTAAGTTTGTAGAGTGGGGGGATGAAAAATTCCTGAAAAAGGGGAGAGAAGCTGGTGTTAATGCAAAGACTGAAGGAAGAACGATACATGAAGAGAAAGAGAAGTGTAGGAGATGTAGGCGTAGCAACAAAAATAGAAAGATCTGACAGACATTGAAGAAAAAGGGACTTAGTTGATAGTGGTGTCTATAACGTTGTACCCAGAGAGCCAGTATAGGAGTTTAGGCAGAGATAGTAAAGAAAAGGAATCATTTTAGGGGACATAACTACAAATGCATTATTAATACGTTTGGCTGGTTTACCGTCAAGAAAAATGAATCGGGTTCGAGTAGGTAAAATATACGAAGTAGCGAGAGAAAGAGGTTAGAGAAGAACAAAAGAAGAGGGACAAGAAGAAGAAGAAGAAGAAGAAGAAGAATAAGAATAAAGAGAATGTATGAGGAAAAGATGAAGAAGGACGATGCAAAGAAGAAGGCGAAACAGTCGTAGAAGCACGACGCCGAGAAGGAAAGAAAGAAGAAAGAAGAGGAAGGAGTGAAGAACGTTTAGAAGGATGAGGAAAAGATGAAAAAAGACAATGCAAAGAAGTCAGAGCAGTTGAAGGAGGACGATGCCAAGAAGTAAAAGAAAGAAAGAAAGAAAAAAAGAAAGAAAAGAAAAGAAAAAAAAAGAAGATGAAGAGAAGGATGAGGAAAAGATGAAGAAACATGCTATAAAGAAGTCAGAGCAGTCAAAAAAGGGTGGCACAAAGAAAGAAAAGGAAAAAAAAAAGAATGAAAGAGAGAAAGAAGAAGTAGAATAAAATGGGAGAGATGTATGAGGAAATGAGGAAAAAAAGCAATACAAAGAAAGCAGAGCAGTAGAAGGGGGTGACGCAAAGAAAGAAAAATAAAGAAAGAAGTGAGAAGAAGAAGAAGAAGAAGAAGAAGAAGAAGAAGAAGAAGGAAAAGAAGGATGAGGAAAGAATGAAAAATGGCGAAGCAAATAAGGTAGAACAATCGAATGAAGACGACACAAAGAAGGCAGAGCAGTTGAAGGAGGAGGATGCAAACAAAGAAAAGAAAAGAAAAAGTAAGAAGAAGAAGAAGAAGAAGAAGAAGAAGAAGAAGGATAAGGAAAAGATGAAAAAGGACAATTAGTCGAATAAGGACGACGCAAAGAAGGAAAAGAAAGAAAGAAAAAAGCAAAAAATGAGAAGTAGGAGAAGAAGGAGAAAAGTCTGTTAAGATCTGATCGTAGCTAGTAAGAAAGATAAGACATAAGACATATCATTGAAGAGTAGACAAATTCTAGGCACCTGATAATTAGTTTCAATGTTTCTCAGAAAATGCACTTTGCCAGCGTTTCCGGTGAAGCACTCGAAGAGTGGGCGTCATTTGGAACAAATACTATGGAGATATAACAGAGAATCTGAAAACCAATGAAAAATATCAACTGTGCCCGATATAAAGAATTGAATGATTCAACAACGAAAGTCTAAATTTTAATGGTAATAGTCAGCATCAACTTTAAAAATGAACGTTTGCTTCACAAATGGATCGAAAAAGAATTCTTTGGTACCAATAACCGCTTCAGTTTAATACAAGGATTGATTACATCTGCATGTGGCAATAATTGAACTCTTATCAATTGTCTTTTCAAGGCATGTCTCAAAAGAATCCTCCGACAAGAAAAACTGTTGTAGATAAAGCACCTATTTTTCTGGAATTAACTTTGTATTTCATATTCAAAAACTATTCAAGTGTAAGCTCAACAAGGTCTGATAATAATAATAATAATAATAATAATAATAATAAAATAAATTTTTCCTACGAAAAAGAATTGTTTATTAATTTCTGATCTCAGTCAAATGAACGTTGGCCTGAGGGTGGTCATGTGGTTTCAAGTCTTCCGTTCGATATTCTAAAAGTGTGTGAGGGATTCTGATTCTCCCGTTGTAAGTTGGTTGTTTACATAACTTCATGGTTTCAGATATTCTTGTGTGTGTCTACTCTAAGTTCTAATGAGTTCACTTCCATACGTATATTGGTGTGAACACGGACATCCTTCGAGGACCGATTCGGCATTAGATCATCTTCTATGATAACTCGCTATGTTTCCTTGGACGTTTCACTTTCTGAGAAGACACCGATTACACAAATTAGTTTGTCATCTCTTAGATTGGATTCATTTTCTGTTTGGGTTGCCAAAGACCAATTCTTCTTAGTTTATGATTCCTGATGGACATTAAATTTTATTGAGACCACTGGTATTTTCTGGCTCGAATCTATCTATCTATCTATCTATCTATCTATCTATCTATCTATCTATCTGTTGAAACTTGACTAATGCATGGAATAATAATGCAACACAAAATGTACTTAGAACAAAATGTATTGAAACAAGAAAGTGTACACAATATTTACATATAGTCTTTTGGATATTCTTGGGAAGACCGTTCCTGGAGAATGTGTTGACTTAGTCGCAGTTGGGCAGAGTCTCTGGATTGAATCTCTTGATTCCTCTCCTCTTTTCCCGCTACCAACCATATTTATATGGACGGTACTCCACTATGCAAATTAGGTGGATCCTACCACAACACTATCTAGGTCCGTTATCTATCTATCTATCTATCTATCTATCTATCTATCTATCTATCTATCTGTGTTTGTGTGTGTTCCTATCTATCTATCTATCTATCTATCTATCTATCTATCTATCCAGCTAGCTAGCTATGGGACAATACACGCAGAGTAGGGCCTGGGAGGAATTGTAACGTAAAAAAAACATATATTTTGCTTACCACAAATCTACTTATTTCAGATTTTTCATCGATATTAAATTTGATTCAAACCGCTGGTATTTCAATTAAATGTATTTCTGAAATATAAAGTGGAATTTTTTTCATGTTCAGATTAGAAATACACATTTTCTCTAGTATGATATAGGTGGCTTCTCGTATCACTGTGTGGCTAGTTAATCCCCGTTGCAGATTTAGATTTGCTTTTCTTTAACACCTTTGCAACAAGACATAGCAGACCATAGATATAGATTTTGTGCGAGAGCGTATAATCTAGCGTGACCAATATTTTAAATGTTCAAATCTTCGATAACGATGGCTTGTGACTTCGCTGTAGTACAATTTCCGAAAAGAATTTTCAGCCAGTCCCTGGTATGGGTTACGAGCTTTTCCTGACGTTGAGGCATATTGGGGTATTATCAGGCTGATATTAGCTAGAAATCTACTTTCTGACAGCGAGATTCGGCATAATTGCGTTCTAACCACTCAACCACGCAGACACAGGTATTTTCTCGTAAAGTACATTTGTTATCCTGTAAATTCTTATATTTTTGGAGCATTTAAAATCCCACTCAAATAAGTGAACATAGACGTCAACACTTAGAGGCGACAGTCTGTTTCATGCTAGATGCAATCGTCGTGGCCTGATGATTGCATATAGCATGAAACAGAATGTCGCCTCTAAGTGTTGATTTCTATATCCACTTTTATATTTACACACGCTCTATCTCTGATAGTGAGCACTTTATCCCATAAATATAGCACATCTTAAGACTATATATATATATATATATATATATATATATATATGTATGTATGTATGTATGCGTATGTGTGCGCGCGTATATGAAGATTCCTTGTCTTCCAGAGTGAAATACATGACCTACTTAATGAATAAAAACTCCTTTTAATCAAAGACATCTCCCCCGATAAATGGATAAATAATTATGGGAGAGACGCAGTCATAATGAATTTTTTTTCTCGTATCGATTTACTGTTTAGTGACATCTAGGTTATCGGGACAAATCCACACACACACACTCTCGCGCACACGTATACAAACTCATGCATACATGCGCACACGCATACATACACAGGAACAAACGCGAACCCGCACATACACCACCGCCTACACACGCACGCACTAACACGCGCACACATACACACACACGCACTCAAACGCACACATTCACGCGCAAACACAAAATGAGGCACATGCATACACACACACACTGACACACACTCAAGCAGACACACGTACAAAGAAAAAGAAAATTTGTCGTCGTTTAATTTGAAAAAAAGGTGAGAAAAAAGAAAATAAATAACTACAGTTACACACACACACACATATATATATATATTTTATATATACATATATATATACATTTTATATATATATATATATATATATATATATATATATATATATATATATATATATATATATATATATATATATATATATATGTATGTATGTATTTCTAACGTAGTTTTCTAAAGTACTCCATAATTAGCAGATGTATCGCTAATATAAATGAATTAGGGTTTTCAGTTTCACTGAAGAATTCACAGTTCAAAGCAGATCTCTGTCGATGGCTGAACACTCATAATTAGAGAAGCGCTGAAGACACCTTCTTGAGGCTAATTGTCTTGTTGATCTATGATTTCTCTCCGATAATAGCCGTCTTTTGGCATATTCGTAGTTAAAGCGGTCGATGCACGATTGTACTTTGAACATGGTGGAGATATAAGTTGTGTACAATCTGACGCTTCAACGTCGAATCATTATACAACAAGGATCAGCGTATCTGCGTGATATGAGAACGTCATCCGTTCTTCCAGACAACCTCTTAACTGCTACTTCCGGTATGTCATAATCTTTAGAAAAAGACAGAAATATATATATATATATATATATATATATATATATATATATATATATATATGTAAATTTCAATTTCGGATATTGGGTGATTGAAAAGTAACTCCTTATTTTATGTATGATGGACTCTCCCGTCTTGTAAATATTATAGATAGACGGGAGAGTCTATCATACTTGAAATAGGGATTTACTTTTAAATAACCCTGTACATTACTTCCCTTAACTGAAATCTTTCATGTTATTATTACCTCCCTTAGTTCTCTGTTCTATATATATTCATAACGGTGCTATGATATATAGCGTCTAATGTAATGGAATAACCATTCACCCCCATGAATGATTACACTATAGGTAGTAAGTACCTATAAAGTCTACTCTCTACGAGAGGACAGAGGTAGTGTGAGCGAGACGATGCAAGTACCTCCGACCTTCCAATTAGTGGTACTCACTAAGAGATTGACCTGTATGTCTATATATTGACCTGTGTGTATAACTACCATATTTCATATTTTACTTGTTGTGTAAAATAAACCTTTTTTCTAGTATCCACCTGGTGTTATATGTTTATTCCCTTAGCGAGGAATAAACAAGTGGCGACGAGTGTCTTCAAGAAGAAACCGTTGTAGCGGCAAGGTTACATTTTTTAAAAATAGTATTTTAAACAAAATCTAAATTACTCCGTGGTTTCTATTTTTTTAAAAAATACACTGTGATCTTTTCTTTTTATTCACCTTTCTATATTTTTCGAAGCAGCCAATTAAATATAGTAGAATTTTCTTTAAAAAAAATAGCTCGCTAGACACACATATGCGCGCACACAAAAACAAACGAATATATGTTATCATCCGAATCCTGCATAAAGTAACAAGAGTTATGATACACACACACACACAAATTATACTGACGAAAACCGCTTCAGACAGTTGCAGGTGAAGTATGCTGAAACAATGACAAAGAAATAACAATTAAAAATAGCAGTATTTTTCTTGTATCCTCCATATTTTATTCTGTGGCGAAGCTTTAATAAAAGCGAAACAGATTAAATTTATAAAAGTTTCCTATTTGTTCCTTATCCTATCATTCTGTCGCATTCCACTTCATATTTGATCTCTTTTTCATCCCAATAATATATATATATATATATATATATATATATATATATATATATATATATATATATATAAGTGAACATAGAAGTCAACACTTAGAGGCGACAGTCTGTTTCATGCTATATGCAATCGTCAGGCCACGTGTGCTGTTATTTTTCTCGGCTATTTATATATATACGGGTTAGTGGTGCATTGTGGGTATTCTATTATGGCGGTTATTTTTACCGGAAGTCGCTTTGTTCATTTATTTGGGTCAAGTTATATTGCTCGTTTTTATTTATTTTTTATTTTATTTTATTTATTTATTTATTTATTTATTTTTTTTTTTCTTATTTTATTTATTTATTTATTAACGTAGTAAAAAATTTGTTTTATATCACGTATTTAACAGTTTTGTTTTGGTTTGAGAATTTAATTAAAGCTATTTGTTCAATTTTGGGGTTGGTTGTTGTAGTTCATTCTAACTATTATTTTTTTGGCGGGAACAGTTTTTAATTTGGGATTGGTTTGCCTATTTATTTACTTGGATGAATTTAGGTCAATTTATTTTATATTTTCTCTTTTTGGTTTTTCGGTTTTAAGCAACATAGTACTTATTTATTTATTTTATTTATTTATTTATTTATTTATTTTTTTTTTTTTTTTTTTTTTTTTTTTTTATTCATTTTCATCCAAGTAAATAAATAGGCAAACCAATCCCAAATTAAAAAACTGTTCCCGCCAAAAAAAATAATAGTTAGAATGAACTACAAACAACCAACCCCAAAATTGAACAAATAGCTTTTTAATTAAATTCTCAAACCAAAACAAAACTGTTAAATACGTGATATAAACAAATTTTTACTACGTTAATAAATAAATAAATAAAATAAGAAACAAAAAAAAATAAATAAATAAATAAATAAAATAAAATAAAAAAATAAATAAAAAACGAGCAATATAACTTGACCCAAATAAATGAACAAAGCGACTTCCGGTAAAAATAACCGCCATAATAGAATACCCACAATGCACCACTAACCCGTATATATATAAATAGCCGAGAAAAAATAACAGCACACGTGGCCTGACGATTGCATATAGCATGAAACAGACTGTCGCCTCTAAGTGTTGACTTCTATGTTCACTTTTATATTTACACACGCTCTATCTCTGATATTGAGCACTTTATCCCATAAATATAGCACACCTTAAGACTATATTTCTTTATATATATATATATATATATTATGAGATGTATTAGGTCCGACAATTATTCTAATATATTTTCCGTTTATACGTTATTTAGTTAAATGTTGTTGTTATTATTATTATTATTATTAAGCAGTATTAATTACATTTACCGGCCTGAATTCTGGAGAAATTTCGTAGAAAATTTGTTTCTCCGACAGGAATCGAACCTGTAACCACAATGAGAACCATCATTAGATCTGATGATCCATTACTTACATAAGTTATGCCTATAAAATAATGCATAAACGGATATATATATATATATATATATATATATATATATATATATATATATATATATATATATATATATATATGCACACTTTGAAGCTTCTCCAATACCATAACTATTTCATATTCAATGTCAAAAACCAAAAGCTCATAAAATATTGCAAAATAAAAAAAAACACCCCTTCATGACAATAAAAGATTTAATCAATACAAAACAAAACAATAAGCTAAAACTTGAAGGTGAATTTACTCTATCACTAATAATGATTGCCAGAAATAATACATTGGAGAAACCTCAAGAAGTTTAAATAAAATATTATATGAACGCAAAAGGGAGATGTTACAAAACAACACGTCAAACGCATTAGATTTTCACTGTAACTAGATTGTCCACAATTTTGATATAAAACTTGCTATTCTAAAAGAGAAAACAATTCACTCAGAGGAAAATGTCCAGAAAGTGCATTAATCGCTAGA